TCATGATGCTGAAGAGAAACATAAGAAAGGGGGACAGATTCAAAACTGACCATCGTAGTAGACAATTGCTCCCACCAGTCTGTCCTTCTGGAGCATAGGGAAATGTTCAAGGGCTCTCGATTTGCTAAGCACGTAACTGCTCTTCAGGCAATTACTTCCTGCAACCAGGTCATACAGCTTGATTCCAGCCCAGTAGTAAGGGAGCTGCCACCACCTACAATAGGGGGAAAGTTTCTTTAGAAAAGTAGTGTAACATTCTAGTGACACCTTAAATTACAAAAAACTTTTCACTATGGAAAACAAAGCTCACCCAGAAGTGGATCACAAAGGACCAAAAGCCCTGCATAAACTGTTCTTGATATCAGTCTGGGTGAAGTGCACAAGTAAATGAACCAGTGAAATTTTAAATCAATCTTCTCTAAGCCTCCCTTCCTGGTTGCATATTAGAATTTTGGGAGGAACACTGAAAATAAATACTGATGACTGGAGCTCATGTTTCCAGGAGATGATTTATCCAGAGTAGGATGAGGGCCTAGGTTTTATAATGCACACCCAAGGCTGAGAATCACTGATTTAAGTGGTCCTGAGCAATCTGTGCCAAAGCAGACAAGTTATAAAATTTACTTCATCGCCACCATACTCAGGCGGCTAAGTGTTACAAAACCAACTTCACATTATTGTGCCTGTTTTACAACTTAAGGGACCCTCATAGGTAGCTGTAACATAGAAAACTAGGTTTATAATCTGACACCTAGTCAAATTTCAATTTAAGTTAACTTGGATACTGAAAATGATCCAAAATAGCTTGGGTTTTCAGTTGCTATGTTGCAGGTTCAAATTGTACAGCAGGATCCTGTTCAGGTTTCTATACTTCTAACTCTCATATTCCTCAGTACAAATGAAGTTGCTCATCTAGATACACTAAGAAATTACAGGGCTGGGGAGATAGCTCAGTGGCATTAGCACTTTCTTGGCAAGCACAAGGTCCCCAGCCAGTACATAAATAAATAAATAAATAAATAAATAAATAAATAAATAAATAAATAAAATGTATATCACTAAGAAACTATAATAAAGTATTACTAATTACAAATACAAAGCATCATCGCCTTTGCCTTCAAGATCCAGTCCACAGAGACAGGTCCACAGAGAGTATTAAAAAATCCACATTTTTAAATACACCAGTGGAAATGTTTGGAAAGGATTAAAGATTAGGGCCAATTAAAACCACACTATGAATCTGAATTGTGAAGCACATAGAGAAATGCACATTGAGGAGTTATTTCTATTAAAACTATTGTTCCATTGACCTCAGGTGATCAAACAGAAAGGCGATACCCAAAGCTTACTTGTAAACTGGAAGCATTATAGGCAGTGGAGCTGATAAATGGGGAGCAATTTCTAGTAGGTTGGCACGCTCATGAAGGGCTTCTTTTACCATCCTATACTGAAAATCAAAACAGAGAAAATTAGTTTGGCAGTAACATATCATAATATTTTCAAATGGCAAATAGACACCCTGGCAACTGATTGATACACAGAAACCTTCTACCTCTGAGTGTGGATAGCTCTCTCCTAATCAAATTTCTAATAATACATCATGCTGTCAACCTCAAAGATTTTTTAGAAACCGTAACTGTATTTGCATAGGAGAAAAACATGCTGTCAGAGTTCCCAGGTGTAACATATTTTCCTGACTTGAGTGCTAAGATTATTGTAACCATTTATCTTGTATTCTCTTAATACTCCCCTTTCTCAATTCTTCATAATATTTTCTCCAGATAAGAAATAACAGACTGCTCAAATTCATGCTAAAAGTTTTCTTCTTGCCTTCACTAAACCCAAAAAAGATGATGCACAGCAATTGCACAGTACTTCAGATTATGTTTTAAAAAGCTTTTGTCTTAACCCTTGTCATCCACTGTATGACTCTCTAAAGAGTTATTATTATTATTATACTAATCTTATAAATGAGAAACCGAAGGTTCATGGATTCTGAATGAACAATCCAGAGCATGTTATAAATCAGCTGATTCTAAATTCTATGTTTGCTATTTTCTTTGCATCCATCATGATGCTGAAGAGAAACATAAGAAAGGGGGACAGATTCAAAACTGACTTGTCAAGGAAAAAAGAGACAGATTCAAAACTTGACAATGTCAAGTCAGTGCTGCTGTGCTTTTCATGTACGAAAAGCAGATAGGGAATGTAGCTGATCTTTTTTACCCCTCTGGGAAATGTCATCTTCCACACTGCCTTGGCAGTTTTCAAATGGTGGCAGACTGGACACAATAAAGTGTGACACAGGAAAAGCATGACTCAGATCATCTTTTCCTTAACAATATGTCAGTGATGAGATGAGCGCATGATTGCAGTTATAGTTAAGAGGGTCAGCTTGGCATGCCTCCTGCATCGCAACACAGCTCCCTGAAACTGTTTTTGAAGGAGCAATTTTGGTGGTCACTGGAAAAAACTCAGTCATAATTGTTAAACGGTAACACATCCAAAAGCGATTTTGTAAATCTGCTACTTTGACATGCCTGTGTAGAAGGTCCCTGACTACCCATACAGGAAAGAAGTAACACACCTTTCTTAAAAGATATTCCAGCAGCACACACAAAATAAGTATTTCCAAGAGGAAGCAATGTTAAAAGCCATTTTTAAACAGCCTGATTTAATTGGGTAGAAAAAGCATAGTTGCAGTTTTTGTTTAACAACCAGCATACACAATTACCTGCTCAATATCCAACTTCATGATGGCCTTCTGAAGATATCTCACACCACCATGGATCAATTTAGTGCTTCTGCTGCTGGTCCCTGATGAGAAATCATCTCTTTCTACAAGGGCTGTTTTTAGTCCTGTGTAACCAGAAAACCAAATTAACTTCTTAAATTACACAATTTGTATGTAATTCATTAAAGGCACTTCTCCAGGGTAGAGACAATCACAAGAAAAATTAGTCTGAACATGGATAAATTTGTATTCAAAGTGCAGCACACTGTCTATATTATAATGAAGAGATTTTAGACTCTTCCTGGGGGGAAAGTCAAGACAGAACTAGAAGCACATTAAACTGTGAATGAATCACAGCTAGAAAATATCACAGTGCAATTTCATGGTAATAACACACTTTGATGTGTTTAGGGGGTCAAAAAAGAGACTGGCATCCACCCTTCCCAGACAGAGTTCACTAAGTATCATCACAAAGACTCCTGGAATCCATGTTCATCTTTCCCTACAAGAGTCCAGACCTTTTCCAGCACCTCTTCTCTGACCTGCTCTCATGCATTTCTAGTAGTAGACCTTCTTTGTGTACTAACTCATATTTGGAAATATGTCTGGGTTGTGTGTACAGAATGAGAAAGATATCCAAGGTACCACAACAAAATGAAAGAAACAAATGATTTCTAATATTGAGTAGTTTGTAGGTTAATTTAAAACATCTGAATATAACAACATTTCAGAACTTATTCCCAGAAATATAAATGCCAGGACAAATGAACACAATGAAGAATATCCGTAGGAAAGAAACAAAATGCCCTGGAATAACTCAGGATGTACCAAAACAGGTCAAATTCACAAGTTGCCCTGTCCCATTGTTCGGCTGTTTCCCTGCAGAGATAGCCCTGCAGCATCAGAACTAGACAGAACCAGCAGTACTACAAACTCACACACTAGTTGAGAAGCAAAAGTGGAAACCTCGCAATGCCCAGAGCACACACCAACACCAAGTGCAGTTTCCACAGCTGACATATTCTTGGGGATGAGAGAATATCATGGAAGCCAATTACAAACAGAATATGCAATTGGCGCAGTTTGGGCTCATAAAGCTCAAAAGGAATAATCTGTGCATGTATTCAGTTCAGAGCCATTTATTACATTTAATATCAAAGGGTCTTTTCTATAAAGGGTCTTTCTACAGTTTAAATATCGTATCCAAATGTCATATAAAATCAGGGCAACTCCCTTGACTTAAAAGGACAAAATATTTGGAAGCTGTGGAGAGAAAAGTAGAAAATTTTAATGCAAGGTCAAAAACTGCTAATGCTCTACCTCACCAGTAAAACAGTACAGAAATTACAAGTATCACAAGTATTTTTTTAAAGCAAGTATGCCAGAGAAAGTTCCGTAATATTCTCTATTTAAACACTAGAAAACCTCAGTAAACTTAGTACTAGATGTATTAAAGCAAATTAGTGCAAAAAAAAAAAAAAAGTTGAGAATGAAAGTGCTGTTTATTATGAGTTAGACATAGATCAGACTGTTATGTAGCTGCCAACTCAAAAAAGGCGAAAAAAAAAAGTGCAACAGAGGCTTTACAGGGGCCACATTTAAGAATACAAATGACTTTCATCTTCCTCTAGGTTAGAAGTTGTTTGGTTTTGTTTTTTTTTTTTTTCCCCTGAAACTGGGGATTGAACTCAGGTCCCCGCACTTGCCAGGGAAGCGCTTATTCCACTGAGCCATCCCCCAACCCCTAGGTTAGAAGTTGAATTCAGGACATAAACTCCAAGTTGCAGAGTCAAAATTATATTTTCAAATCTTTTAAGAGTACACTGCTTCAGTGAGCTCCATCACCTTAGTCCAACACAGAGTTCTTCATTCAGCACTGAAATAGACCGTTTTTCTTCAGTTGAAGATCAGACGAGGGAGTTGACTTTCAAATGGCATTTGGAGCCAGATTATTTAAATACACCTCTCTTTAAACCCTGAAATCAGTCATAGCATCAAGATGCCTATACCACGAAAGACAGAAAAATGAGACTGCAGAACTTGCAGTGTTCCATTCAACCTCAACTGCCTTCCTCAACTAGGCCTGCTCAAGGCCTGCAGTAGACAAAATTTTCTCGCAATCCCCACTGAGGATATGACTTCTGTGCCTGGAAATGGGCTGAACCTCACTAGAACCTTTCTTCTAAGGAGCAGAGTATACCAACCCTGAGGGGTATGTCACTTTTGAAATGTTATAACATTTGGTGAACATGGAACCAAGAGAAGCCCCTAGACACCAACGCATGAGGAATCCAGCCTCAGTCCAACAATCCAAGGAAAATGAGATACCCCGAGAGCAACCAGGAAATAGCACAATGACCCTGAACCTAGTTGAGTTCACTCAGATCCCTGATCCACTAAAATGAAGGGAAATTGTTATTTTTAAGCCACTAAATTTGAGGAATAGTCTTTTTGGTATCAAGAAAACCTGGTTTTATGGGACTAATGCATCCAAGTCAGAAGTTTTCAACTGTCTCTAGGAATGGGTCTTCAGAAGGCTAAATCTACACAGGAGTAATCACAGTAATTAAGAGTAGGTGAGTATCACTGGCCAAAAACAGCCTAAGAAGAAGAGAAAAATGCTTGAAATGTCCCAGCTAACTCAGGAGCTGCTTGTTACTAAAGGCCTCTGAGTAACCAAGGACAGGAAAGATGGAGATCCCAGTGGGAGGAACTGACAAAACATTACAAGGGGATTTTCAAGCACAACAGGACTTGGCATACTGTCAGAATGGGGGCTGTTTCTCACAAATAATTCCTAGGTCACCTCAAAAGGAAAATATGGTCCATGGATCCATTTTAGAAACAACTCATTATGGCATCAATGACACAGAAGCATGAAAATGAGCGCTGTACTTAGTCACAGGGAACTAGGGTGTGTCTATTATCTGTTTACTATAAACAAAATTCTACATTTTTCCCCAGAAATTCTAAGATACTGCCTTGAGAGATGCTGTTATACTACTTGCCAGGGAGACTGTAACATGTTTTATGCTGGAAATCTGATTAGTGTTCCTGACTAGGGGTCTGGGTGGCATGGAGAAAGCCATCCAGAGGAGCCCAGCAATGAAAAACCCAGCTTCCAGGCAGGAAAACAACACTGGAGGAGGGATTTCCCAGACTGTGTTGGGAGAATGGATTTTTCTAAAAATGTATTTGTTGTTTATTTATTGGAACAGGGTCTCATTATGCAGTTCAGACTCATAGTCATCATCTCCTGTCTCAGCCTTCCCAGCGCTGGGATTACAGGTGTGTGCCAACATGCCCATTTTCGGCACAGCATGGCACACAGCATGTGATACTAGTATTGGGGATCAAACTTGGGTCCTTGTGTTTGCCAGGCAGGTGTTTATTGAACTATCTCACCAGCCCCAAGGCTGGACTGACTTTCTTTTTGCCCAACTAACTAACTCTGAAGTATAGAACAACTCTAAGAATTAGGCAGCCATCTCAGTGGGATATTTCAGAATATTTAAGTGGGAGATAACACTGTTCTCAAACTGATTTTTCCAATCCTGGGTATTTTAAAAACTATTCACGTGTATTTATGTGTGAAACTCTAGAAAATACCAACAAAAATTAAAATAAGTTCCTCCTCAGTCAACCAGGCTGACTGTGTGTGGTTGCTGTGGTTGCTATTTTGGCCCATTATTTCCAGTGCCAGTCAAGTCATCAAGCTTCCCAGCCTGGCTTCCTGGAGAGGAATGAGACTCCTTCTAGAGAAGAGACAGAAATCTATAAAATTATAGCAAAATTGACATATTAAGGCTCCTTGTAAGCTACCTTACTAAAGCATTCTGTTTAATTTGGGTTGTGTCTGTGGATTTTTTCATTTGGTTTGGGTTTTTTTCATTTCATTTGGGTTAGGCTTTTTTTAGGGATCAAACTCAGGACTCTGCATTTGCCAGGCACGCAATTATGTGGCTGAGCTATCTCCCCATCCCTTTGGTTTTGTTTTTGGCTATGGCTGTGGGTTTGGTGTAGTGTGGTATGATGTGGTGTGGTATGGTTTGACTTTTTTGTAATACTAGAGATTAACTCTAGTGCTCAGGGGTGTTAGGCAACTACTCTAGCACTGAGCTACACCCCTAGTCCTTTTTATTCTGAGACAGGTTCTCATTAAATTGCCTTGAACTTATGATCCTCTTGCCTCAGCCCCTAGAATGGCTGGGATTACAAGTATCAAACTCAGCTTGCACAACAACATTTTTGAGACTGCAATATTATCCTATTTATCATTTTTTTATTGCATACATGAAGTAGCTACTTTTAAGCATTTCACAGTGAAAAACATCAACATCTACAGTGAAATTACTCTCACTCCTAGGGAGAATAACAAAATTAGTTATAGTAGAAAAAGTCAAACTTGAAATCTACCTCTCACTCGTCTTCATTCTATCTTTTAACACGCTGAAATTGTATCTTCCAGGTAGGGTGAGGGGTCTACACTGAAGACAGCTTTGTCTTTTCTGACTTCAGTGAGGGTAGGCTATCTAGATACTAATGAAACCAATTCATGGCTCAAGACAGTTGGATGAACATAGAGGGATAATTACAATCTAAGGGGAGAAATGGTACGACATTTAACTTTCACAACATGAAATAGAACAGAAATATATTTTAATACCTTTTACTGATTATCTTATTATGCATGAAAACATGCTCAATATAATAAATGCAGAGAAGCAAAGAGAACAAAATAAAACTCTCCTGTAATTACACCACTCAGAGATAACCACAGTTGACATTTGGGTGTTTAAACATTCACATTTTCTATGCATGTATATAATCACATACATACATTTTTACAAAAGTAGGATCATATTGTATATTTAAGCAGTTTTTAAATCCAACACTGTTTATTGTAAACATTTTTCCACATCAATATTTTTTATATGATTTCATTTTTAAAGCATGGATAGTATTACACTTAAATGTTTACAATGATATGTTTATTCAATTTCCTACCTTAGAACATTTGGATTATTTTTTTTACTATACAGATAGCACTGAAGATTATATTTTGATTTCAATAATATCTTCAATTATTTTATTACAATAAAATTTCAGAAATGTCATTATTAAG